TGAAGATGCTCTGTTTTTTAGCTTGCATTAGAAAACAGTCAGTTTACTGTAATGAAACCCACATCAGGCAAGTCTGATGTATGGGATTCTTTTTGATGCATTATACACTCAAATGAAAAACCTTTGCACAATGGGATAATACCTCAAAGTTTTACCCTTTAGCAGTCAGAAGACTGGAACTTCACGTTTAAGGCAGCACTCATGTCTCATCACAAACAAAACTGACATTTAGCATCCTTTACAGTTTCATCCGTTATGTCTTTCTTTTGGTAGTGATCTATTTTAAAAGTGAGATTTTGGAAACCAGATCTAAATTTAGAGGAAACGATCGGGTCTGATCGGGTAGAAAATAGGGCAGGGCGGTCAGCGGGTAAACAAAGGCTGAATATATACGGCGGGAGCAGTTGGGTGCAGAATAAAACCTTGCAGGAGTGACACTAAAAAAATTTGTCCCGTGCAGACCTCTATTGTGAAGCACTTTGGGTGCATGGCCATATATAAATACACATTACATACTTACTTACTACTTATTTATTGTATAAAATAAATCAGCCTTAGTAAGCATGAGAGCCTTCTTAGGAATATTACCTCAAATGTTTGAACAAGTGTATATATGTTTAAAACATTATATTACTATTTATTACCCTCTTAGATTACACAAAGTGCTTCATGAAAATTCTTAATCCTAACTTACACCGCAAACAGTTTGCAAAACAATAATGAAGGCATGTGCATTACATCCTCCACATTTCTCAGAATAACTGCAACATCATTAGAATAGCTATCTGTGTGTGTGATAGCTTCTAGAGGAGTATGAATGTTTGTTTAGTCCTGCAACAATTAGCCATTTAAACAGAATCACTGCAGGAGCAGCTGGCCATCATCAGTTATCTATGACCATTCAGCAGCATTAACCGTGGCCTTCCTCTCGGGGCCGTCCAGATGCCTGATGTTGATCACACACCAGGCATCTTTTTTTCCCCTCTCTATCAAATGGGAGGTGAAAATGGAGAGAACATCTCTCTTCCTGTCGGAGCTGGGAAGCGCCCTGTAAAAATGTTCAATTTTTCTTCTAGTACAGATGTAAGTTATCACTCCTTCTCAACATGCCTCATTCACAATATGTGACACTTTCTGCACCAAAATGGAGAATTGATTTATATTCGCTCATGCTATATATTTTATGGGAGGGGATAAGTGCAAAGGCATGCAAACTTGGAAACGGTTTCATCTTCATTGGTCTGACCCTCTTCGGTCTTGTTGACAGTGTGATTTTTCTTTCACAATGTCTTTTTGTGGAAACAAATCTTTTATAATGTCTTTTTTTTATCAAAGTAAGCAATGGGTTGAGAATGGCTCTGGTCAGGAAAAGTCATTGGAGAGTTAAAGGGTTTTAACTGCTAAAGTGATTTTCACTGCAATGACACGTGTTAAAGGGTTAGTTCACACTAAAATGAAAATTTACTCACCATTAAGTTGATCCAAAAGATTTTTGAGTTTCTTTCTACTGTTGGACGCAAAAGTAGATATTCTGAAGAATGTTGTAATTCATACCTGCTTGATGCGGAATAACAAACCTCATTTGTTCTTTCAGAAGCTCAAATGTCTGTTATTATAATTCACACATTAAGCAAGCATGCTTGAGATTTTGTAATCAAAGTTAAATGTATTAATCGTTCATCAATTCACACATGAAAAAAGGGCTAAATATATACTTTCATCTTATAAAGTAATCAGAAGACTTCAATTAATCTGCCCAATTCATATAGATTTTTGACTTCCTTATGAATGTTTTCATTTATCCATTCATTTTCTTTTCAGCGTAGTCCCTTTATTAATCAGGGGTCGCCATCTCGGAATGAACCGCCAACTTATCCAGCATATATTTTACACAGCGGATGCACTTCGAGCTGCAACCCATCACAGGGAAATATTCATACACACTAATTCACACACATACACTACGGATAATTTAGCCTACCAAATCACCTATACCACATGTTTTTGGAGTTGTGGGTGAAACTGGAGTACCAGGAGGAAAACCACATGAACACATGGAGAACATGCAAACTCAGCACAGAAAGGCCAACTGACCCAGCCGAGGCTCGAACCAGTAACCTTCCTGCTGTGAGGCGAGAGTGCTACCCTCTGCACCACCATGCTGCCCATGAATGTTTTTGATTAATCAATTAAACAAACTTTAAAAATAAGGCAAACCTAAAACTGATACAAGATAATATTGTCATACTGTAATTAAGCTTGATTCATTTCAATTCATTCACAATTATACATGTTCAAGTGCCAATCATCCATTTCAGTGGCATCAAGTTGTAGTGTAAGTCTTTCAGGATGAATAAATTATGACAGAATGTTCATTTTTGTGTGAACAACCCCTTAAAGTTTGTTTTGGACCCAAACTAAGCAAACTCAAGTCAATAGTGGAAAGGAATCCAAACTTCTTCTGATGACAAAAATGAAGATCGAAACAAGGTTCAGTCAGAGGGCCAGGAAGAGTTGTAGTCTTCTTAACAGCTTTACAAAATAAAGGTAGAGCTGTAGTAAACAACAGGATTATCACTGGCCTAAGCGCTACAAAAGTCATGTACAGTCCAGTCTGTAGAAAGTCCAACATGAAGCCCAGATCAAATCACAAATAGTCAGTGATTTTATTCATCACAGAACTGACAGTATATTCTAACTACTATGTATTCAGAAGTTCCTCTTCTTTTCCAATCATGTTTTTCAGTAAAGCTTATCCACACAGGGAGGACAGCGGCGCTGTAAAGGATGAGTAATTTGCTTCACATACCATACAATATCTCCCGATGAAAGGTTCTTAGATGTTCTCATTATCATCCTTCCCTAACGAGAAGCATGAGACTGTAGAATGGCTACTATGAGAAGTGGGATTACTGCTCGTCTCTCATTATCTTTCCATGATGGAATGTGTCCATCATAGCCATTAATGAGGCAATAATTCTTTATAGTAAACCTGTTGGCACATTCACCGTTATAGAAAATGTAATACTTAAGGTCGTGGGAATGGTCTGCTTATTAAGGAATGGTTGTTTATAGTCATGCTGATGTTTTTTGGGAGTCAGTGCAAGCCTGTCTTCATGCACTTGTGCCATTTCTCACTCCCTAAATAACATGTATGAACAATGGAATATATCAGGTTGAATCAGTGAAACTGTCTTATTGTAAAAGGAAAAAATAATAATCATCTCCACTAACTACATCTTGGCAGACTATTAGTTAATTAGCTCAAATGCTTTTACTTTAGTTGGTCTTTGATACACATCCATATTAGTACATGAAATTAAATAGTCAAGTGTGTATCTGCAAACTAATTCTGCCCATGTGAGCAGTTATTTTGAAATAATTCCTATAAAGAATAGTATTTATTTATATTTTAAATTACCTTTTTTATTCAGTTTATACTAACCAGTGGAGGAAAGAGTACTGAAAATTATACTCAAGAAAAAAAAAAAACATTAATTCCTAAAAATGTGGTGCACGTAGAGTAAAAGTACTTCATCTGTTCTAAATACTATTCAAAGTATGAGAAAAAGTTTCCCCTCTAAAGGTTCTCAAGAGTAATGATGAGTATTCAATACAATTCAAGTTTATTTGTATAGCACAATACGTGAAGTTTATTTCGAAACTATATTCGAGAGGATCACATGCTTATGATTGACCACAGCCGGTCCCTTATTAGCTAATCATAATGCACCAATCATATGATTCCTAATACCCAGTTCAGACTGCCTGATTTTCAAAGTACTCATGTCACAGATGTTTTCACACTGCATGACTATCTGGGCTAGCGTTTTGTCGCTGCTTTATTTACACTGCAGGATGGATCGGTGACAGGTGCTTTCACATTGCATGACTTTACAATAGGAAGAATCGCAGACAACTTGGTCCAAACTACATCTCACAGCCAAAAACATGTAGTATATCTTTTGTTATTAACTACATAATGAGAAAGAAGCCTTTAATGGGGTAGAAAATGCACATATTTGCTCACCTGGGTTTGAAGGGAATTAGCAATTTCTCCTCAACTTTCTTTTTTAACATTCTGTATGAAAAGTCAAACAGACACATTGCTCCTGTCAAACCTTTACTATTTCCTCCATTTCTTGGGTCCAAAATAAACCAAAAAACAAGCGCTTTTAACTTCTCCCTCAACCTCCTGCTGGCCTGCAGGTACACACACACACAAGGGAATGCTGCTCTCTCATTGGCTGTAGGCGATCGTCAATGTTATTTTCAGTTAAAACTCATTTCACACAGCATGATTTGAATCGCAGACGGCTCCAGATATTTAGCACGCCAAATATCTCACAGGCATCGGCGACTCATCAGCGATTCTCTCAGATCGTGTCTTTGATAGTTCATACTGTGTGATTGTCACTCACGTGCACGAGCACCGATTTGCCTGTGATTTCAGGCATTTGTCGGCGATTATTCAAAACCTGTCGGCGAGTCAAAATCGGGGCTAAAATCATGTAGTCTGAACTCGGCATAAGTCACTATAAATAACCATGAACACAAAAAGCTTACATGTGCCTTTAATAATTGTAGTAATACTTCCAAAAAGAGTGTATTACAAATGAAATCTGAATTTCCAACTGTTGAGTGCCTTCTGACTCTGAGCCTGCAGTGACCCTGGATCTGCGCAGTGGTCTGACTCCCCCACTGGAGGGCCTCAATGCCATGCATTCAGCCTGGGCTAATAATGAGCCATCACACTGAGTGCTCGGAGACCTCTTTTGGCAAGGTGCAAGCTGTTTATGGGAAACAAATGGCCTGTTTGTAGCTTTGCTCAGTAATTGCTCTCTTGGCCAGCAGCTGTCTGACTCTAAGCCGGTCATTGCCTTGACTGTGTTGCTTATCACACTAATTAATTGCAGGTCTTGAGCCAAGTGCAGCCGCCCACCGAGTGTCCCTATCTAATCTGTATTCCTTTGTATATTTTCTTATGTCTTTAATCAAAGCGCCAGTGAAAAGCAACCAGAGGCCGTGCTCCCATGAGGATGTGGAGAGCCAGAGCAGAAAACAAAGCAGTGCGGATGAGAGCGAGCAGCCAGAGTCCTGGTCCCCTCGCACCGTCCCTCGGAGACACACAGTAGGAGGACCTCGCACTGCCGGAGACGTGATCGTCCTGCAGTCTTACAACATGGACCACAAGAAAGAGGCCTTTCTCGAGCATCTGAAACAGAAGTATCCTCATCATGCCTCTGTCATCATGGGCCACCAGGAACGACTCAGAGAACATGTAAGCTGGCTTTTAAATATTAAAATCGGCAAGTGACTTTGTTTTTGAACTATGAAAACTTCTCTGGAGTAGATTTCAAACAGGGGGCTGGGGCCTAGCAAATTGTCACTTAAAACGCCCATAATGATGCTCTAAATGGGGTGAAGTAACTACTTCTTTAAAAAAAAAAAAACATATTTTTTTGTGCAAATTATATTGTTTTTACATGCACATACATTTAAAAAAAACAATATTAGTTTTGGTCAAAACATGCACTCGTTCTCCGTATTAATTGAAATATATGTAAACTACACATATAGGACCTATATATGTTTATTTTACAAATATTATTAAGAATATTCCATATTCTATTCTAAAACATCAAACCACTTAGCTAACAAGTATTTTAATCTTATATATAAATCACATAAATCTTTAATGGTTGTAATTTACAGTAGACAATTTATAAAAAAAAATGAAAAAATCCTACTAAATAGTAATTATTTATTATTATTATTATTAATATTATTATTAAGTAAGATCTTGTTTATTTATTATTTTATTTAATGTTAAAGTCTACTTTTACAATCTGACACACTCAAATCACAGCAGAAATGGTTTAACCAACAGGCCCATGTCACATACAGATACATTTCTTAATAAATAACATATGCTGAATAAGTTGGCGGTTCATTCCGCTGTGGTGACCCCAGATTAATAAAGGGACTTAGCCAAAAAGAAAATGGATGAATGAATGAAATGAAAACCATTAACTATATATATATATATATATATATATATATATATATATATATATATATATATATATATATATATATATAACGTAAATTCCACTTTTAAATAATAGGTCACCTAGCTTTCGTCATGAGCTATGGCTGCTTGATGTGCCGTTTGGCGCTGTGACACGGCGTTGAAACACATGACAGTTAAAAGTATCGCACGAAACTATTCAGATGATGCTCTGTGGCACAGCAGAAGTATAAACAGTGACCTGAGTCATGGCTGGGCACCACGGACAGCCGCCGACTTGCGGCGCCAGTGTGTAAACCCAGATAGATAGAGGCGCTTCTGGTGTGTGACACCCTTAAGAGTCATCTATACCTAAAGTCATCTACTGTTATGTTTTTTTTTTTATCATTTCAAGTTTAAATGTTGGAATGTTCGAAAGGAACAGGGCATGGGGGATAACTGGAAATAGAACACAACCATGAACTACCCTTCTGACTACAGCTCGAGAGGTGTAGTTGCAAGCGTACAAGTTTGCAACGCAGTTTGCGAATGTTTGTTGGAAAAATGGATTTGGGAAACGGTAAATCAATAAACTATGTTTGTAGCGACGCAACTTGCAACCTTAGTTGGCTAACGATAGTCTTTCTAAAATGCACCCCAGATTAGAAAGGTACTTAAATCCAGCTTTTTTAAATTCAGACAACTAGCAAAAATAAACCAATATAAACCAAAACAACAGTTTGAAATGGTAATCCATGCTTTTGTGACCACTTTGTTAGATTACTGTAATGCACTGTATGTGGGGAGTAGCAGGTCTATTACCTGTTTGCAAATGGTGCAAAATGCTGCAGCACGCATGTTAACTGCTACTCACAAATATAACCACATTTCCCCTGTGTTAGCTTTGCTTCATTGGTTGCCCGTTCATTTTAGAATAGTTTAATCTTATTTGTTTTTAAACCTCTAAATGGTCTTGCCTCACCTTATATCTCTAAGCTGATACACCCCTAAGCCCACTCATTCTGTCATGTCAGGTGATCGATTTCTTAGCAAAAAAAAAAGTGTACGCTTTGTAAGAATGATTTGCCGATGCCCATTAGACAGGCCTTTTCCATGTTCTCATTTAAATCAGCTCTAAAAACTGGCAATAATCTTAAACAATGTGATCAAACTTGAAATGGGCCAAAACATCTGCAGTAGTGTAATCACTTTCCTTTGGACTACAAATGTGTCTTCATTTTGAACGCATATTTTTCCCAGTTCAAACTGCAATGCAATTGTTTTCAAATCTATCATAATTTGGTTAAGGATTTTAAAAAGTTACTTCTTGGTTAACAAATATGCCATTTTAGTGCAAAGTTCAAAACAAGGCCTCAGTTCAATTTCTGAAATAGTGGAATTTAATATTAAACAAAGAAAATAAAAACTTTAAAACTGAGCAGCTTTGTCACTACACAACAGATGTACCAGAAATAATTTTAAAGGGCCTTTATATATCAACTTCAACAATTAAGGGAATGTACTTCTAGTTCAGTTCAGTGTGGTTTAAATTTCACTGCTCAAAATGCCAAACACTGAGGAGTGTTTGATATACACATGTTTATTTGAGTACTGACAGATTAAGCAGCTCTGACTTTTAATAATTGCTGCTAGTTTTCGACTGACATTTTCATTAAATGATTGCTGGTTAAGTTTGACACTAAGTAATGGTAAATTCATATGGCTTGAACGGTTAGACAGATTAATTGAATATACTCTTAAGTAATTATAAAACACTTAATATAACAATTAAAATATTTTTAAAAAGTTAAAAAAAGTTTTAATCGGCATAAATTTATTTTAAAGACTTAATTAAATAGATATGCCACTTGGGCATTTTTTGTCGTTGAATTGCAATACCCGGTCCCCTCCAGTTGAATGCGCTCAAGTACAGCTGATATCCGCCGCTCCTGGGGAGTACATCGCTAGTTGGTAGTTGCATTCAAGGGTCAAAGAGTACAACAGCAAAACAAGAGGTAAAACACACGTGGTGCAAGGTACGGGACACGGACCGAAAATTGTTTCCTGAACGCAGCTGCAACACCGACCGCCAAAATATATCTCTGGATGGTATTTAAATGTAAGATAGCCTACGTGTAGATTTATTACGTGACATTAATATAAATAATATGTATGTTATTCGTCTTATTGTTGTTATCATGTTTGTTTTCATTATTATTTTGCTATTTAAAAATATAAGATGTTTCAAAATGTAGCAATAAAGGTCATGAAAATCCGATTTAAGTTTTATTTTAAAGGTTTACAGTAATTTAGCAAATATTCCCACATCATTCCAGAGAGGAAATTATGTTTCAATGTTTAATATAGCTACTATTTATTAACTGTGGCTGAAACGCTTAGGCTACTTTTGTAAACAAGAAGATGATTAAGACACATTTCGAAACCTTTCTATTACATTTTTGCAGCCCAACAAGTCTTTCAGGTAAGTTCATATAGGTGGGTGTGTCTCAGTTCAGACGCTGATGTCACGGCTTTCAAAGATCAGTCACTCTGCAGACGAACTTATGCAGAGATCTACATCTACTCCCAGACACTAAACTGGGCTCCTTGTTATTGACATTTACTGTTTATTATCTGGAATATGTCCTTTTTTGTGTGAAGAACGGTGGTGGACGTTTTGCATCAAGGTACTGTGAATTAATCTAATATGATAACTGTTTTACTGTCAGCAGATAGGTCGATGTAAACAGTACGATTTTATCAACTCATTATGTAGTGAAAATAAATTATTTTTGCTCATGTAGCTAGATGGTATAGATAAATTAATCGCATTCGTATTAAAGGTAAACAGAGTTTGTAGCTTTGAATCAACGAATTGTTCTGCAAGTCATCTGAGAAATGAATGTGTAAACTGAACATGTAAACATAGAAGCCGTCATACTGGTTCTCGCATGAATCAAAATATTTAAAAGGACGCATGCAAATCTCATTGTTATCATATGCAAATTGTAGAGTTGTCTTATTTTCCAATACTTTTCCATGGTATGTGTGCATTGAGAGCACTTTTGTTTGAATTTGAAGTTTTCTCTTTGTTTAACTCAAAATTAAATTACTTATGCTTGGAGCACCAGTTAAATACCATGGTAAAAAAAAATATCATATATTTACCATCTGACAATTTATTGTGAAATTCAAGTATGATGTTATAACAATTTGAGATAACAAAAAATGTGTGTTTTCAACATGGTAAAACTATTGTATTTTTATGAAGTACCTTGAAATACCATGGTAAATAGTATGTATGCAACAGAATATGGCCGTCTGTAATCATCTATACCCTGATATGCGTTTTCTAATAAGAGTGAGGATTTAATGTTTTTATTTTCTTTAAACTCACAAACATTACCATAACTGTGTAAAACATTATTATGTACTAACCATACATTTATATTAACAAAACTTTACCATGCAGGTGTGCCAGCGGAGTCATTTTTGTATGTTTTACTGGGATGTTTCTTCTTTTGATGCACAAGTATTTACACTTTCAATAGCTGGTTTCTTTCTTCCCAATGTGTGTTTTTTCTGCATAGTTTTGCAGGGTGTCTTAAAAACTATCAAAAGTTGATAAATCAACATAGAGAAATTTAAGGCCTCTAAAAAGTATTAAAAAGTCTTAAATGCTATTTTCCAAGGTATTGAATTGTATATCATTTTTGATTATGCAATGTATGATTGTATGAAGTTTGCCTGAATGAAATCTGGGAATATCAGGATGTAGTTTATGAAATCCTACTGGATTTGACATCATGCTGCTTTGTTTACTGCAGTTACCAAGGCAACACCAGTATTTCTGCAGTTCTATAAGTGCCAACCTGGTGAATTAGCTAGATTTAATAGATTTTTATTCAGTATTTGAATAATGTTTTAGTTTTCGATTACATTCATGTTTAGTAAATATACTGTAAGTTGAAATCTCGCCATTGTTTCTGATTGAAACCTGGTTATAAGGTTTAAAAATGTATGGAAAGTGTCTTAAAAGGTATTGAATTTTACTCTCTGATTCCTATGTATACTCTGTTTTGGTAAGTTGTCTTTGTGGCTGGGCACAGCCATAAGTAATATCATATCACACCCCTGGCACTTTCAGCTCATGTCTTTCATCCTCCTTTTTTTTTCGTTCCTTCTTTTTTCAATATTCTCCAGACAGAGAGAATGAGGTATGATTTATCTGACCCTGCCAGTGCTTTCAAAGACCTGGCATTAGACCAGCT